CCGGGGCCCTATCCGCAGCAGTCCGTCTGCCGCGCAGTCAGTCCCAAGGGGCAGTTAGGGGCAAGGGTCCCAGGAGGGGGCAATCAGGGGACAAGGAGCAGCGGCGCTTAGATAGGGGGAGAGGTCCTGGGGGGCAGTTAGGGGCAGGGGTCCCGTGAGGGGGTGATTAGGGGACAGGGAGCAGGGGGGTTGGATGGGTTGGGGTTTCTGTGGGGGGCAGTCGGAGGGAGTGGATGGTGGCAGGGTGGGGCTACCCTCCCCTCCCTGTGGAGTGTCCTATTTTTTGAATGTTAAAATATGGTATCCCTACTCACAGTGCAGCTCTCCATTCACAGCAGGCTGCAGCATGAGGTCTCAGCTACCTCCGTCCCTCCCCCTCTTTTCTGTTGGTAGTGGCCAAGGGAATGCTGGGAAATGTAGTTCTTTCCCTGCTCCAGGGCTGGCTCTATAGGCAGGGAGCTAACCAAGGAACTACAGCTCCCAGGGCCCCCTGTTGGTTCTCAGCTCCCATGCTGAAGACTGCCGCCCCTGCAAATGGGCTGCCCCAAGCACGTGCTTGCTTTGCTGGTACCTAGAGCCGCCCCTGACCACCCCCAACGAGGGGCAGTAGCTTTGTCAGCGGGAGAGCATCTCCTGCCAACAAAGCGCTATCCACGGCACTTTTTGTCAGTAAAACCTTTGTCGGTCAGGGGTGTGTTTTTTCACAAACACAAAACAAAAGTTTTACTGATGAAAGTGCAGGGTACACATAGCCTTAGTCTGGCATGGCCAGCTAGGGACAAAGAAAAATCTGCTTAGCGAGAAAGCTGTTCTCTGGGAAGCCCTGGGGGAAAGCAGACAGGTCATGGCTCCCAAGGACCTGTCTACTTGAGGTGTGGGCCCCCAATTCTTACTGTTTGCCTTTGCAGCCAGCTCCTCAGCAGGCGGGGGATGGTGTGGGAGAGAGCGGTCCAGCAGTCAGGTGTCTCCAGTGTCACCTAGTGTCACCTCTTCTCCCTCCTGCACCTTCCTGACACAGGCCTAAGAAGCAATCTAACAGGAGTGCCCTGGTATTGTCTTCACTAGAATCAATGGAGGCTGAGATATTAAACTGAATCCATTCAATTTGTATCCAACCAAGTAACTGCCCGTCGCTGGGCTTGAACGTTCTGATGGAGAATGAATTAGATCAGGTGAGAGTCAAACAGAATTAAACTAAAGGTGGCAACATTTGTATTTGGTAACACTTGGTCTTTTAGTGCCACCCTGAACTGTGGTTCTACTCTGAAAAGTGACTATGTAAACAATAACTGCTTCTAACTCAGCAGATCTGTTCCTTGTCTGTATCCAAATATGATCTGACTATGTCTTACTCCTCTTAGCCCTGCAGAGCCAACGCAGCAACAGGGACCAGAATCTTTCCTTGCTGATGCAACATCTGCGATGGAGAATCCACCATGACCTTTGATAAGTTGTTCCAATGGGTAATTACTCTCACTGTTAAAAATGTAAAAAGAATGAGGAGTACTTGTGGCACCTTAGAGACTAACAAATGTATTTGGGCATAAGCTTTCGTGGGCTATAACCCATTTAATGGTAATCAGGATGGCTCATTTTCAACAGGCCATCCTGATTATCACTACAAAAGTTTTTTGTTCTCCTGCTGATAATAGCCCACCTCAATGGATTACTCTCGTTACAATTGGTATGGCAACACCCATTTTTTTATGTTCTCTGTGTATATATATCTTCCTCCTGTATTTTCCACTGCATGCATCCAATGAAATGGGTTTTAGCCCATGAAAGCTTATGCTCAAATAAATTTGTTAGTCTCTAAGGTGCCACAAGGACTCCTCGTTCTTTTTGCTGATACAGACTAACACAGCTACCACTCTGAAACCTGTTAAAAATGTGTGACTTATTTCCATAGATGTGACCAGCTAGTAAAGCTGACACACAGTCTCCTCTGTGGCTAGATAAAAAAAAAAGTCCAGGCTCAGCTAGGGATGTAGGAACACTTAGAAGGAGCTGATGGAAACCAAATAAACTGGATTCTTGGATCTAGCTTTCCCCTGTGGGTTCATTTTGGTAAGACCTTGGGTAATGATTTCTTCTTGCTAGTCACATCCCACGTAAGTGGCTTTGTGTGGCAAATGGGGAACAAGTCACCCTTGCTGGAGTCAGTGAACATGGGAGCAGAACCTGACGGAGCAGGCTGCTGGGTACAGCTCTCAGCAGGTGGAGAGAAGAGTGCATTGCAGAGTCTAAAGCTACAGACGGCTTGGAGCCAGGGTCTCTCTCTAAACTCCTATCCTTCTCTTCCTTCTCTCCCTGTGGTAGTACAAATGGGCTACAAGCTGCTCCTGAGAAAGCGCAAGTGGCGGACAGCAAAGAGAAGTCTGGATGGAAAATCTAGATTCCCAATCAGGCCAGTTTAAAGGGTTATAAAATGACTGAAGACAGAGGAAAGCAAAGCTCAGACGGAGGCTGTTCCACCTGGCAGAGACAGGAAGTTGGGCTGGCACTGCAAAACACTCAGTCTGCGGCTTCCATCTATCAAGAGCAGAATATCCGTTATTAGGACAGAAGGAACTGAAGTTTCAGAAATGAATAGACACACCCGAGATAGTTAGAGACTGAGTGGGAAAGATAAAATGGGAGTTAAAAGAAAGTGCTGAAAAACACATAGGGCACAGGAAACTTTATAGGAGTGACAGAGAAGTCTGAAGGGGATTTTTCAAGTTTAATCAACATACCATATTAAAGAAAAGGCAAATTAAGCTTTATGTAGAAATCAATTATTGTTATCCTATTAAATCAAAATGACCTCATATATTAGGAGGTATTTGTTTGTGGTTAAATGAATGTTTTACATAAGAAGGTTGTCACACTTGTACTATAAAGCTGTTAAAGTTAAATTACTTGTCACTGGAATATTGATCCTTTAGAACATGCACTTATTCCTCATGATTTGCCCATGTTTATCCCACAGGTCATAGCCATGACTTTCAGCTGTGATGCCCCATTAACCCAGTCCTGGCCTCTCCAGCAGAGGCTGAAGTAAGTGAGCAAATCAAAGCCAACATGTACCTACCTGCACATATGAAGCTCTGGGAGTCCAGTCCTTTCTCCATGGGGATGGCCACCAGATATTGTAAGAAAAAGCCATTTTCCTTTACAGTGTTTTTCAAGATTGCCTGAGAATTCCCATCCAAATTGCCACCAAGTGTCAGCGCTTCCTCTGCAGTTTCGAGATATGAGGTTAATACTCTACGAACAAGCCCCCTCCATGCTGCGGCAGCATCAGCACTCTCAGCTTGCAGCTTCAAGATGGCTTTAGAGGTTATCACCTTGAAAAACGCAGGCCCACCAAGACTTGTGTCAGGAAGAATGTCTTGGATTGTCTCTATTCCATAGCTGTTGCTTAATATTTTTTCATGGTTTTTTACTTTAAAGCATTTTAAAGCTTCTAACGACAAGGAAAAAATAAAAGGAGCCCAAGCTTTATCTACATCCATATAAAGAACTGATTCTTTAATGGCATCTAATTCTGGTGCAAGAGAAGACGTCCAATCATAGGCATTTCCAGCTGTGTTGTTGTACTGGAGCAAAGCAGCTGAGTCACTGAGCAACACTCCAACTGTGTGTCCTTCAAGGTCGTCTTCTGGACAGTCAAGCGTCTCCCATTCCTCCTCTTGCTGAGGCCGACACTTGTGTAGAGCCTCATGTATCCTGTCTAGCCAGTCCTCAGCTTCATCTCGGGAAGGAGCTCGTAAGCACAGTTTCTTACCAGAGAACACCAGCTCAAACCGGCCATCACTGTGAACCAGCCCCAGCGACTCGCATCGCAGCAGAGAGTAATTCTCACTGTAAATCCGTTCTTCGTGGTCCAGGAAGAGGCGGAACTCCAGTGGGGATAACTCACAGAAGAACTCTTTCCAGAGGCCCATTGCTCCCCTCCTCTCCAGACTGCCCAGCTTCAGGAGGCCTCGGAACGGATTGGAAAGACCTTTGGGAAGACAAGGCATTTCCATGAAACCGGGAAGAATATGATAGACAAAGCAGAGAAAAGCCAATACACAATTCACACTAGCATGCAAATAAACAGCATTAAAAATATTCAATAGACACAGCTGAATCTGTTAGATAATGGCCTGATTTTCCATTACTCTCTACTGCGATGCACCTTGCATTGCTACCAGTGCAAAACGAGTGTGTAAAAACTCCCCAGTGAGAATTGTAACTCTGCCTGCACTTTGCATTGGTATCAGTGATTACACATCTGAGCCACGGGGGAGAAAGGCATCCTTAGGGCTTGTCTACACTAGAGAAATTTTCTAAATATTTCCAGTCACTGTTAATGTGGGCTCAGCAACACTGGGAGCCCAAACATAGCTGACACTATTGGCCCTGTTGTTATTAACAGTGTCATCTAAACCTGCTCAGAACTGGTCTGATCAGAATAATGTGGTGTAAACCACTTATTTCACAATGAGGATTTGCCAGGTAGTTTCCAGAAAGAACAAGCTGACTTCCAGCTCTCCCCAGTATATAGGCACCCACAGCAGAAAGGAAGGCTAAAAAAGGGCATGGACTCTTCAATGAGATGACTTTTCATCCCATTTCCCAGCTGGTCCATTCTTGGTTGGAATGCACATACCGATCTGCCTGCGATGAACAACATGGAAGCCCTTTTGTTCCTGGTCAGGGGATGGCTTGGGCTTCCCAGTCTTTGAAGAGGATAAGAAGGGTCCCTCCAAATCAAGTGCACTGATCAGTTCTGTGGACCGGCCTTCTCTGGCCCCCTCAAGAGAGGACCCATAAGAATCAGTTAGGCCTTTACTGCTCCCTTCTGGAGAAGGCCTGTAGAAATCGTCTTCTGATATCCAGCTCCTTCTTTTCTATTTAAAAAAAAGAACTGAAATATTACTGAACTTTGGCCAGAATCCTGTAAACATATCCACGCTTAAATTGACACATGAGTGGAACCATTAACTGCAGTGGGACCGCTCACATGTATAAAACGAAGCAGGTACATAAATACATAAAGGGTCAGGGTTTAACTGCCTACAAACTCAAGAATATTTACCTTTTAATGAGTTACAAATGTTTGTAAGCTGCACTAGCAGCTCTCTGTATCTAATTACTGGTCAGTTAGTCAGTCAGCACCCCAGTACATAGCCAAGACAAGTTCTCTCTCCTTGGTCACTGCAGTTAACTGAACAAGATTCTTCACCGGGAGGTCAGGGTGGGAAGTTTTCAGCATCCTCCTAAACACCCCAAGGGATCCACCATTTATCTCACCATGATCAAAGAGACCTAATTTTGTAGCTGCCACTTCCACCATCACAAAGCACTGAATGAGACGCCATCTACATCTGGCTATTGCTGCTTCTAAATGAGCAACACTAGGCAACCTTTTCCCCCCACCCCACTCCTTTAGTGCTGCGCTGCAGAGCTCTTAGAACAGGTGCTTGCATTAAGTTTGCATCCAAGCTGAGCTGCTTCTACATACTTGCTCCTCAGTTGAGCTACTTTTCTGCTCTTGGACTTTATCTAAATCATATAAAACACTTCTAGTTGACTGTGTCTTCTAACTACAACTGCAAGATCAAACACTGCCCTCAGTAAAACCCATGCAGCCCAAGTGGCTTTTTGAAGTCCAAAAAAATTACATAGATCCCTAGATTCCAAGGCCAAAAGGGACCACTTGATCCTCTAATCTGACCTCCTGTATAACACAGGCTGTAGAATTCCCCAACATAATTCCTGTTTAAACTAGACCAAATCTTTAAAAAAAAAAGAAATAAGAACATAATAAGAACAGAAGAATGGCCACACTGAGTCAGACAAATAGTCCATCTAGCCCAGTGTCCTGTCTTCCGACAGTGGCCAATGCCAGGTGCCCCAGAGGGAATGAACAAAACAGGTAATCATCAAGTCGCCCATGCCCAGCTCTTGGCAAAGAGAGGCTAGGGACACCATCTCTGCCCATTCTGGCTAATAGCCATTGATGGACCTATCCTCCATAAACTTATCTAGTTCTTTTTTGAACCCTGTTATAGTCTTGGCCTTCACAATATCCTCTGGCAAGGAGTTCCACAGGCTGACTGTGCGTTGTGTGAAAAAATAATTCCTACATGCAATCTTGATGTAAAAATTCCCAGTGAGGGAGAATTCACCATAACCTTTGGTAAATTCTTCCAATGATTAACCCACCCCGTTTAACATTTACATCTTATTTCCAGTCTGAATTTGTCCAGTTCTCCTTTATCTTCTATTTTGTGGATGCCCTCAAACTGTAGTGGATTAGAGAAGGACAATTTCCAGTAACAGAAGCCATGTTTGTTTGTCCCTGTCCTATCATGTCAATCTAGGCATTTGAAAATTCTATTTTTAATCACTGTAATGCCCAGGATCACCGTTTGCATGTTTTTTTAAAGAGGCAGGTAGCACATTTGCTACCTTCCAGTATCATAGGTAAATTTGAGATGCACATTTTGGTCAACAGCTCTGCTTTCAAGTTCCTTCAGAACTCAGGGCTCTACTATCTGGTCTTAGTAATGTGTTGTTCTTTAATTGACCAATTTGTTCCAGCACCTCCTATTTTAATGCATCTGGCAAAGAGGACTTTTGCTATTGTTAAAAGTGCATGAGAAGGAAAAGGACTCAGCCAAAAAGGGAACGAAAGAGCATGCACTGCTAGTCTGATGTCTGGTCTTCTGAATCTTTATATGAACTAAGAAAACTATATTTTTTTGGGAAAAAGATATATATGTTGTTTTCTCATTAACTTTGAACCCATCCTGAAGCAAACGTCTATCAGTATTGTGGAGTGGCGCCTACCGCTCTTGGAGTTCTGCAAGCAGGTATAGGCACCCTAGAATAACCCCAGACACCTGCTCCAGACTAGTTTAAGCCTATTCCCTTAGATTAGGTACTTCTCCATTTCATACACAGACTCTTCAATTCATGATAAGAAACACTGATTATCTCTGAGCTGTTCAACTGGGTGATATCTTCCACCAATTCCTTAGTCACACTTTAACAGCTGCTCTAATAAAATGATCACTGCTAATTTGTTCCATCTAATTTTCAAGCATTCTTATGATTTGACCGTGAGCTAAATCTTATTCACTTATTTTTTGGGAAAAAACACTGTCCCTTCTGTTTGGTAAAGGGACAGTCCCCAAACACAAGGCAGCCAGCCCCAATATACACAATGAACAGGAAGATTATGTTTACTCTAGAATCAGGAATGACTCATGCAGGACAATAACAGGTATTTAAGCACGATGGAATTTCCTGTTGATATCCAGAGGTTATGAATAGATCAACCAAACTACAGCCAAGTGGCAGAATAGATAATATGGTCACTGAGCATTTTAAAGGAGTAGATATCAACAAGAGAAATTGTTTAGGATGGTTTAAGGATATATGGTAATAGAATTAGGATATAATGATGAGTCATGAGATGGAATTAAGCAAAGCACAATTTGGCCTGAATATCAGGAAACATTTCCAAGCAGTGAAATCTAGCTGATTATTCCAGTCAGCCAACAAAAGTAGTGGGACCCCTTCACTCGAGACATTTAAACTAGACTGAGCATTGGAGAGAACGAGCCTGCACTGGCCTCTGTGACCAGATGTTTGACATTGCATGTAGCAACACCTAGCAGATCTTTTCCATTGGAAAGTGGGGATTTATTTCTGTGGCCAGTCGTTGCTTGGCTTTTTCCCTTAGGACCACAAATCAAGAGAAACTCTCTTGTCACTTACCATTGTGGAATGCCAATTCTCAGGCTGTTCTTTCAAACTGCAAAGGATCTAGGGCCAGATTTTCAGCAGGGCTCAGCAGCTTCCATTGAGAACATCTCCCTCCACCAAGAACAATGGAAGCTACTGTGTGAGGAGCCCTTTGAAAAATCCAGCCACCCTTTCATGTAAGTGTTATGCGTGCTGGGCTCTTACCTGACTGCCTAGCTCTGACAGCTTTTGGTGACGCATTTGCCAGGTGATCTAATTAGTATTGATTTCTCCAAAGCCTAGTGCAGCAGTGTGACTTTCAGCTACAGCAAAGTACGTATGGAGCAAGGAACATTTTTCATTTCAACTCTGTAGTGAACCTGTGCATATGTACCACATGTAGCAGTATTCTTGATTAGTATCAGAGTGACAAGGAGACCAAAACCCACTGTATATGGGGCTTAACTTAAAATGAACAGCAACCTGGAAGTCCCCATTGCCTTCTACATAACATTCTTTTTACGCTTCCTAACCACTTCCCCCACTTGATTAGCTGCGAAGAACATGGAAAAATAATTGTAACACCTACTGGACAAGCTGTTGCTGGTGAAAGAAAGAATTCTGTCACTGGGCTGAGATCCTCTTGGCTTTCCTTATGACCGTTTATCTTACTGGTTCCATCTTTATCTTCTGGGTTAATAATGTAAAGCTGTTGGGATGAATCTTTGTCTGCTGCACCACTGTGTGTTATGATTGGCTGAGACAACAACTGGATTCCTGTAACATGTGAAGGAGGATCTGATATCTTGATGGCTTTAGCTAGATCGTCCACACAGATGGACTGTGGGTTATCTGTGTCAGGAAGCGGTGCAGAACAAAGAGTGCTCTCCGCTGTTGCATTTAAATGCAGGTGAGAGGCTCTGGAGACAGCAGGAGGAAGTGCGGGCTGCAATGGGGCAGGCGCCAATAGATTAGGAAGGTGCGGTTCTTCTGTAGGTTCAGAGACTTGCTGTACTTTGCTGAATTCAGACAATACCCTTAAAACAAAGTTTAGGCAAATAAAAAAAAAGTGAATAGACCGAACAAAGTCTGCTACATCATTGGTTCCCAGAGGTCATGTGATTATAAAAATAAGTCCCCTCAGGGTTTCAGCCTCTGAAGTACTGTACAGCTTGAATGATCTACCCCATGCCATTTGTCTAGGTTCTAATAAATCCGCTATACTTGTTTCATAGATTCTAAGGCCAGAAGGGACCATCGTGATCATCTACTCGGATCTCCTGCTCAGCACAGGCCCCAGGACTTCCCTTACTTTCTGTTTGAACTAGAGCATTTATTTTAGACAAGCAACCTATCCTGATTTAAAAGTTGCCAGGGCTCCTGGAAGGGTGAAGCAGAGCTACCAAATCACAAAGCTGGGGATAGATACCAGCTACCAAACCACTGGGGTGGATGAAGTGGTGGAGCCAGGACATCAACTCTTCAAGCTGTCCGCCCTCCATAGCCTCAGAAACCTGGAGTCCCAAGCAGCAGCAGAAATGCTACCATTGCACCAATCAAACTACATGTTCCCTATCCTTACTTGATTTTCCTCTTTAGAAGGTACTGTGTATCCAAACCCTGTGACATCACAGCATCTTGGTTGTCTATGGTTGCCAATTATGATAAACTGCTGTGTGTTAGCCCTGCACATCCATGTTAGAATTTACTGGAGATGAGGCATGATGTACCGCTTCTGTGTCAAGCTTGAGGACTGGAAAAAGGGGTATTCTGCACAGTCATGGAATGGCCTCTCCAAGTCAAAATGTGAGAGCTCCTCATTCACTCATGGGAATCACCACATTTATAAGAAAAATAAATGTTCAGGTAAAAATAATTTGCTTTCTATACCAAAGTGTTCAAAGCCAGCCCAGCTAGAGAGTTGGGATACGTCCTTCAAACTATTCCTATCCTGAATATACTTGGGAGTTTGCTTTTAAACCACTCCTGAGTCATTACTTTTAACTGCTATTTATTGTAGGTCCCCCAGATAGCAATTGTGAAAAAACAGGACAGGGGGTGGGGAGTAACAGGTGCCTATATAAGAAAAAGTCCCAAAAAACGGGACTGTCCCTATAAAAACGGGACATCTGGTCACCCTACCAGAAGAGAGCTTTGCACATGTATTAGAATTACATATTGCAATTTTGCATGACTGCTTTGATCATGACGCATGTGCCTAGCTATGGTTTGTGTGTCAAATTTCCAATACAAATAAGTATTCATAGCTGTAAAAAGCAATTAGCAGCAGTGCTCTGGTCAGTCAAGAGACTGTTTCATGCTCCTTTGCTCTCAATTTTGATCTCAGCATAACCTCAAACCAAAAATCTTTCCATCATTAACCTAATCAAATCAAAATGGGTTCTCATAACCTCAAGAAATGAAAGGTTTTTTTGGAATCTAAAACTGGTGCCAATGTTGTTAATCAGGGCGATACATGAGGTGGAATTGAATCAAACTATGGTCTGCTGAACTCATGCTGGCTCTGCAGGGCTCTTGCCGTTTGTCAGTAATCTAAACATAGCTGACAAGACAATAGTCACAGCGTGACTTTTCTGACCACAGCCCCATTTTAAAACCAAACTCAACAAGAGGGTGTTTGCCTGTTTAGTTCTAGGTGAGACAACGCCCTTTTCATTTTGATGGTGATAGTGAAAACATTTGCAGTCCAGCTGTTTCTGGTTTTGTCTCTGTCCTGACATGCAAGGGGTTCTACATAGCTACATCAAAAGAAGGATTCAAACGAACTGTTTACAGGCTGCAAACACTGCAGCTCCTCTAAGTTACTGGAGAAATTAGAAATCTGTTTTTCTCATAGAGTCTGTAAACAGGGGAGTTTCAGTGGGAGTTCTGTTGGAGGAGGTTTTTGTATTTTGTGTATTGTATTTTGTAGTTATATGTGTGGAGGCTGGTAGGGGCAGTGTGCTGGGAGAGAAGCTGAGCCCTGACTGGGGGCGGGGCTTCTCTGCTTAGGGGTCCTATAAAGGTAGCCAGCCAGTCAGGCAGCGACACAGACAGCTGCAGCGGTACAGGAGCCAGCAAACAGACGTAAACAGGGGTGTTTGCGGGGGAGACTAAGAGAGCTGGCAGAGGAATAGACAGGCTAGTGAAGGGAGTGGGTGGTGTTCTGCCAGTGTTCTGGTACCCGTTGGGGGTTTGTTTTGCTGTGGGTGGTGGGGGTTTGGTTTGGTTTGTGTTTCCCGGACTAACAGGTTTTAGGTGGGAAGGCTACGACCGATACAGAGGCAGCAGTGGAAGACACAATGAGGATGACTGGATGTGGAAGCTGCGGGATGTACATGATCCTAGAGGGGGTACCTGAAAAGAGTTTCGTCTGCATGAAGATCAAGTTGATGGAAGAAAATGATAGAGCTGATGGAAGAAAAGATCCGAGGATTGGCGATGCAGGTGGAAACTCTGGTTGAGTTTAGAAGGGGTTCGAGCAGATGATGGAGCAAAGACATGAGGAGGCTGAAGGGAAAAACTCAGACTTGCAGATGGAAGCAGGACCAAAGAACTGAGGGGAGACTGCTGGGTGAGGAAAGTGGACAGTGGGAGCATGTGACTAAGAGAATCAGGCAGAGGAAAAGACAGGCTAGTGAAGGAGCAATAGAGCTCAGGAACAGGTTTGCGGAGTTGGAAAATGAAGAAGGGGCACAGCAGGTGGTCGCTGAAGGTGAGAGGGCGAGGAAGAGAAGAGCAGCTAGTTCTAGAACAGGCCTGCACAACTCGTAAAACGGCGAGGGCCATATTACTCCAAAGAAAACAGCTGAGGGCCGAACCCCCCCCAGCGCCACCCGCCCCCCCCAAAACACAATCCCCCCAGCGCGCCACCCAGCCCCCCTGAAACACAACTCCCCCCCAGCACCGCCCGCCTTGCAAAAACAGCGGTATTGAACCTTGGTAATGTGTTATAGTGGGCCCCTAAGGTAGTATAATTAAGGTAAAAGAAAAATTTCTTTTTGCTAGAAGTAGAATAAGATCTTCCCCCCACTTTGTAATCAATTGCCCTGTTGAATGAATGAGGTGTGACTGAGGAAGGCATGAAAGGCAGCATCTCCAGACAGCTGCAACCCTTGGAGAGGGGATAGGAGCCAGACCAGATCAGTAGAACAGGTCAGCTACCGACTCGTAGCTCGTCTCCTCAGCCCCCAAACCCCCGCTCGCCTCCTCAGTCCCCCTCCCCCACCGCTGGCTCACCTGCCCCCTTGCTCGCCTCCTCAGCCCCCCACCCCGGCCGCTGGCTCACCTGCCCCCCACCACTGCCCGCCCATTTGCCTCCTCAGCCCCCCACCACTGCCCACCCGCTTGCCTCCTCAGCCCCCTACCAGCGGCTCACCTGCCCCCCTCCCCCTCCGCCGGCTCACCTGCCCCCCCGCCACTGTCTGCCCGCTCGCCTCCTCAGCCCCCCACCCCACTGGCCAGTGATGAGCTGCCAAAATCTTAACCGGTTCCCTCCTCACCCCACAAGGGGGGTTGTGGCCCGCTCCCAGGGACTCCTGCCCCATCCACCCCCCTTCCCCTGTCCCCTGACTGCCCCCCGCCACCCCATCCAACCCCTCCTCTCATTCCTGATGGCCCCCCCGGGACCCTTGCCCCCATTCAATCCCCCATTCCTCACCCTCTGACCGCCCCGACCCAGCAGCTCATCTCTGCTCTGTCTCCGCCTCCCTCGACCTGAGCGCGAAGCTGCCGCACCGCTTCTCTGCCCTCCCAGGCTTCCCGCGCGAACAGCTGATTTGCGGGAAGCCGGGGAGAGCGTTCAGGGCAAGAGGCGGAGCAGAGGTGAGCTGGGGCCAGCCGCCGGCTCACCTGCCCCCCGCCACTGCCCTCCCGCTCGCTTCCTCAGCACCCCTCCCTCACCCGCTGCTTGCCTACTCCCCCCTCCCCCCACGGGCCGCACAGTGAGCCCACGTGGGCCGTATGTTGTGCAGGCCTGTCCTGTAGGAAGAGGGGAAGAGTCAATGGAGATAACACCAAATATGAGCCCCAGGAGGATACAGGATGGGTTGCGGAGGATTGCAAGGGACAATAGAAATTGAGAGGACTTGCAGTCAGAGAGAACAGGGGATAGACCAGAGAATCGCACCATCACCAGGAAAAGGCAGGTCTACGTGATTGGGGACTCCTTACTGAGAAGAATAGAAAGGCCTGTAACTAGAGTTGATCCAGAGAACAGAAGGGTGTGCTGTCTGGCAGGTGCTAAGATACGGGATGTGGACCTGAGGCTGAAAAGGATCCCAACGGAAGTGGGAAAGAATCTGCTGATTGTCCTTCATGAATGATACGGCTAGATTCTTGCTGGAACGTATTAAGGGAGACTATGCCATGCTGGGGAAGGAAATCAAGGCTCAGGTGATCTTCAGTGGGATTCTGCCTGTTCCTAGAGAAGGACAACAAAGATGTGACAAGATTATGGCGATCAACAGATGGCTCAGGCAGTGGTGCTAGAAGGAGGGCTTTGGGATGTATAGCCACTGGGAAGCATTCATGGACAGAGGACTGTTCTCTCGGGATGGACTTCACCTGAATAAGGAGGGAAATAGACTTCTAGGATGGAGGCTTGCACAACTGATTAAAAGAGCTTTAAACTAGGAATTTGGGGGAGATGGTTGGGAGATGTCCAGGTAATCTCCACGCCGGAATTTAACATAGAGAGGGAAGAAAACGAAGTAAGAAAGGATGCAGCTGTGGGTATGAGAATGGACATAAGGAGGAAGGATAGTGTAGATACCAGTCTAATAGGTGACACAGGCGGTAGAATGTCTGCCTAATTGGGTAAAGAATGTTAGTGAAGCCAAACAGAAAAAATTAATATGTTTGTACACTAATGCGAGGAGCCTAGGTAACAAAACGGAGGAACTAGAGCTACTGGTGCAGGAAGTGAAACCAGATATTATAGGGATAACAGAAACATGGTGGAATAGTAGTCATGACTGGAATACAGGTATTGAAGGGTATGTGCTGTTTAGGAAAGATAGAAATAAAGGCAAAGGTGGTGGAGTAGCATTGTATATCAATGATGAGATAGACTGTAAAGAAATAAGAAGTGATGGAATGGATAAGACAGAGTCTGTCTGGGCAAAAATCACATTGGGAAAGAAAGCTACTAGAGCCTCCCCTGGGATAGTGCATGGGGTGTGCTACAGACCGCCGGGATCCGATCTGGATATGGATAGAGACCTCTTTAATCTTTTTAATGAAGTAAACACTAATGGGAATTGTGTGATCATGGGAGACTTTAACTTCCCAGATATAGACTGGAGAACAAGTGCTAGTAATAATAATAGGGCTCAGATTTTCCTGGATGCGGTAGCTGATGGATTCCTTCACCAAGTAGTTGAAGAACCAACAAGAGGGAATGCCATTTTAGATTTGGTTTTGGTGAGTAGTGAGGACCTCATAGAAGAAATGGTTGTAGGGGACAACCTTGGTTCAAATGATCACGAGCTAATTCAGTTCAAACTAGATGGAAGGATAAACAAAAATAGATCTGGGACTAGGGTTTTTGATTTCAAAAGGGCTAACTTTAAAGAATTAAGGAAATTAGTTAGGGAAGTGGATTGGACTGAAGAACTTGGGGATCTAAAGGCGGAGGAGGCCTGGAATTACTTCAAGTCAAAGTTGCAGAAACTATCAAAAGCCTGCATCCCAAGAAAGGGGAAAAAATTCATAGGCAGGAGTTGTAGACCAAGCTGGATGAGCAAGCATCTTAGAGAGGTGACTAAGAAAAAGCAGAGAGCCTATAAGGAGTGGAAGATGGGATGGATTAGCAAGGAAAGCTACCTTATTGAGGTCAGAACATGTAGGGATAAAGTGAGAAAGGCCAAAAGCCATGTAGAGTGGGACCTTGCAAAGGGAATGAAAATCAATAGTAAAAGGTTCTATAGCCATATAAATAAGAAGAAAACAAAGAAAGAAGTGGGACTGCTAAACACTAAGGATGGAGTGGAGGTTAAAGATAACCTCGGCATGGCCCAATATCTAAACAAATACTTTGCCTCAGTCTTTAATGAGGAGCTTAGGGATAATGGTAGGATGACAAATGGGAATGAGGATATGGAGGTAGATATTACCACATCTGAGGTAGAAGCCAAACTCGAACAGCTTAATGGGACTAAATCGGGGGGCCCAGATAATCTTCATCCAAGAATATTAAAGGAACTGGCACATGAAATTGCTGCAAGCCCATTAGCAAGAATTTTTAATGAATCAGTAAACTCAGGGATTGTATTGTACGACTGAAGAATTGCTAACATAGTTCCTATTTTTAAGAAAGGAAAAAAAGCGATCCGAGTAACTATAGCCCTGTTAGTTTGACATCTGTAGTATGCAAGGTCTTGGAAAATTTTTTGAAGGAAAGTAGTTAAGGACATTGAGGTTAATGGTAATTGGGACAAAATACAACATAGTTTTACAAAAGGTAGATCATGCCAAACCAACCTGATCTCCTTCTTTGAGAAGGTAATAGATTTTTTTAGACAAAGGAAACGCGGTGGATCTAATTTACCTCCATTTCAGTAAGGCATTTGATACGGTTCCACATGGGGAATTATTAGCTAAATTGGAAAAGATGGGGATCAATATGAAAATTGAAAGGTGGATAAGGAACTGGTTAAACGGGAGACTACAATGGGTCGTACTGAAAGATGAACTGTCAGGCTGGAAGGAGGTTACTAGTGGAGTTACTCGGGGATCGGTTTTGGGACCAATCTTATTTAATCTTTTTATTACCGCCCTTAGCACAAAAAGTGGGAATGTGCTAATAAAGTTTGTGGATGACACAAAGCTGGGAGGTATTGCTAATACAGAGAAGGACCGGGATATCATACAGGAAGATCTGGATGACCTTGTAAACTGGAGTAATAGTAATAGGATGAAATTTAATAGTGAAAAGTGCAAGATCATGCATTTAGGGATTAATAACAAGAATTTTGGTTACAAATTGGGGACACATCAGTTGGAAGTAACAGAGGAGGAGAAGACCTTGGAGTATTGGTTGATCACAGGATGACTATGAGTCGCTAATGTGATATGGCCGTTAAAAAAGCTAATGCGGTCTTGGGATGCATCAGGCGAGGTATTTCCAGTAAAGATAAGGAGGTGTTAGTACCATTATACAAGGCACTGGTGAGACCTCATCTGGAATATTGTGTGCAGTTCTGGTCTCCCATGTTTAAGAAGGATGAATTCAAACTGGAACAGGTACAGAGAAGGGCTAATAGGATGATCCGAGGAATATATATATATGGAGATATACCTATCTCATAGAACTGGAAGGGACCCTGAAAGGTCATCGGGTCCAGCCCCCTGCCTTCACAAGCAGGACCAAGTACTGATTTTGCCCCAGATCAGAATGGAAAACCTGTCTTATGAAAGGAGACTCAAAGAACTTGGCTTGTTTAGCCTAACCAAAAGAAGGTTGAGGGGGAGATATGATTGTTCTTTATAAATATATCAGAGGGATAAATATCAGGGAGGGAGAGGAATTATTTAAGCTTAGTACCAATGTGGACACAAGAACAAATGGATATAAACTGCACATTAGGAAGTTTAGACTTGAAATTAGATGAAGGTTTCTAACCATTAGAGGAGTGAAGTTCTGGAACAGCCTTCCAAGGGGAGTAGTGGGGGCAAAAGACATATCTGGCTTCAAGACTAAGCTTGATAAGTTTATGGAGGGGATGGTATGATGGGATAGCCTACTAATTTTGGCAGTTAATTGATCTTTGATTATTAGCAGGTAAATATGTCCAATGGTCTGTGATGAGATGTTAGATGGGGTGGGATCGGAGTTACTACAGAGAATTCTTTCCTGGGTGCTGGCTGGTGAGTCTTGCCCACATGCTCAGTGTTTAGCTGATCGCCATATTTGGGGTCGGGAAGGAATTTTCCTCCAGGGCAGATTGGCAGAGGCCCTGGAAGTTTTTCGCCTTCCCCTGCAGCGTGGGGCACGGGGCACTTGCTGGAGGATTCTCTGCACCTTGAGATCTTTAAATCACGATTTGAGGACTTCAGTAGCTCAGACATAGGTTAGGGGTTTGTTACAGGAGTGGGTGGGTGAGATTCTGTGGCCTGTGCTGTGAAGGAGGTCAGACTAGATGATCATAACGGTCCCTTCTGACCTTAAAGTCTATGAGGAGACAAGGGTACCAGCCAGGAGTCAATCACCCAGCAGGAGTGTTCTGAAAGACAGCTGACTAACCAGGCAGGCCTACATTCTCAAAGGTATTTAGGCACCTACCTTCCATAGATTTCAGTTGATCTGGGCTGCAGTCACTTTATTTGGCAGGAAGACTCCAGTCAAGCCTTGTAATATGCTTTCCTTTTGCCTTTCCACACCCCATGAGGGAAAAGATATTGGTTTGGGGAGAGACATGTGAAGGGGAGAATGGTAGGTTTTCTGCTTTTGAGAGAGAGAGGATGAAACGCAGGGGTAAAGAGGAGGGTTAAGAAACCCTCAGCAAAGAGCATTCTCAGATACTTACTCTTGCAGAGAACTGTCTAAATCCTCTGCGTTTGCTGCCCCTAAATCAGAGTCATACGACAGCGGTTCCTCACACCTATCAGGACTTCTAGTGCAGTTGGCCTGCAGGAGGCCATCAGAGCCCAGGCTGGAGGACAGCTGGGATGAACTCGTAGTGTTAAGGCTTAGCGTAGAGCATGTAAGTTTACTTTGGTCCTCATTTTTACTGAGGGGCAATATGTTGGGTTGAGCTTCAATATCATCAGATCCCGAAGAACGTGAGACCAGACCCAGGGACTCCTTTCTTTGGGATTCAGAACTAGAGGATGTTAGATGCTCCAGAAGCTCCGAAACAGGACACAGACCAGACAGGGACAAGGGAGTTATAGTCCATTCATTTAAAACTGCTGATTTATAGGACAGTTCGAAGGTCAGGGAAGTTAACCCTTGCAAGAAGCTAAGCAGAAATTCACATTCCTCTGCATCCAGCAGCAGGGCTGTTGTCTGATAATACTCAGGCAGCCTGGACTTCTCTTGTAGCAGTAACTTCAAATAACACTCCATGAGGCCATCATTCAAGGCAAGCCTTAACCAGGCACGGCAGCGCCCCACGTCAGTGCTGATAAAATTTAACTGTTCCAGCTCTAAAATGATGTTTCTAGAGGAGGAAAGAACAGAACATGTTAACAACTGCATTGTGAGAGCATTGCAATGTACAGACTGTGGAGGGGGGCAGATGCACTTCACGAAAGCACAGACTGCCAGAGGGAGGGTCAGGAGATGCAGCACACCAGGGAGGAAGGAGGCAGCCCCAGGATGGGGCAGAAGCTGAGATAGGCATTTCCCAGTATTGTCATTTGACCTGCGCAGTGAGACATCACATTCCTAGCCATCGACTGCACCTCATGTCTCTTTCTAAAATGATAAAAAATAGGGCTTGTTGGAAGTTTTCAGTCAAAACTTTTTCTACGGAAAACGGGGGTTGGATGATTTCTGGTTTTGCGCAAAGAGCATCTGTTTTCTGTGGGAAATACTGATTTGCATCAAAAGCCCAAACTCTTGAAAACCAAAATATTTTGATTTGGAAATGCTGCCACAGCACCTCTATGGCAGTGGTTCTAAACCAGGGGTCTGGGTAGGGCTGTCCTTAGGGGCCCTATGCAGAACTATTAAACTGGTGCCCCTATGCCTGACGGCAGCCCATGTGTATTTTAGAGAAGGGGGGTCTTTTGAAGGATTTATTTAAAAAACTGTATGTCTGAAGATCCAAGCATTTAAGGCTAAAGATGAATACTCAGATTGTGCATCTAAAAATCTCTGCAAGGATTTTTTAGAGATGTGATTTTATAATCTTCAGCAACACACTAATGACATTTTTAAAGCAAATTTTAAACTATGGTCCTGTAGACTAACATGTTCTGAGTAAAAGGCGAAAGATTTATACAATCTGAAAAGAAACCAGTATTACAGTAATTCACAACTGTTTTTGTTAGGGCCTTGGCTACACTTGCAGATGTACAGCGCTGA